CGCCGAAGCCGGATATAAAAGGAAATGCACATTCGCGGTTTCGAAGTATCCGTAGTATGCGCGAATCCGTAGTGCACTGTTTCGTTACTCGGCGCTTCTTAACGAGTGCGAATGAGGGCGGACTGCGACGACGGCGATTTCGAGTGCGGTAATGGTGTTTAAAAGAGCGTAACGTTATGAAAATAACGTTGCGACGGTGTCGCGACAAGCAACGACACGGTAACGACCTTAGTTAGCGGCGACTTTTAATACGGAGGATTTTCTGGAACGTGCGCATTCCGCCGCGCAGAAGTCATAATGATCGTAATAACCCCTCTTCGCTGCTTTATTATTCGGCACACATAAATGCCGGTCGGAGTTATCCAGGATGGTGTTCTTAAATTCACATGTGCTCTCGCAGCTCGCGTAGCTACGAATTGAAATTCCGATCTCGCGTGATGAACGTTCAGGATCGGACGAATGAATGAAGAACCGAAGACGCTAAAAAACACGAAGGTTCGGAATTTAATTCGTGAGTGGCCCGACGTTCGATCGCCCGTAATTCACGAAACTATCGGCGTTTCGATATCTCCCTTCTCGGGAAAGAATTTACGGCCACACTGTATATGCGCAGTGTTTCATATATTACGACTATGAGCCGCGCTCTAAAGCGCGGTCGCTGGGAAACGCGAGGGGAAAAGCCGAGATACCCAGCCGCCGGGATATATTTGTATCCCGCGGGACGGCAAGGAATTATCCCGGCGGGAACAATAGAAACGGTGGTCTCGATGGCGGAATTAATTATAGTATAGAACTTAACGAATGCTTATTATCGCGCCCCGCTCCTTTTTTTCCTAGACGACAATGGCTCGTCTTTCCCGCGGTCGGCGACGGGAAGAATGCGAAAGCGAGCGCTCGCGACTCCCGCCTCATTATTATTGTTGTTACGTCGCGTTTGCGGGAAATAACTCCCTCCTAAATCCGTTTTATCGGTTTTTATCGGAAAAATAATAATAGTAACAAACATATAAGGTTATTATTACTGACATTATAGTAACACTTATTGAGATAAATGATTCTCCTGACTATAATTCTTCCCCTTTGATCATTATAGTTACAAGTACAAAATATTTTTCCCTCAACGCGACAGCCGCATACGATGTATCGTACACGGAAAAAAGTGCTGGACTCAAGTAAATAATTATCACGATGGTCCTTAGCAAATTTTTATCTGAATTAAGTATATTTTTACTTGGATCAAAGAAATATTTTACTTGGGTAATTTACTCGGATCAAACAAATGTTATTTGACTCCGATAAAAGTGTGCTAAGGAGTATCGGAATAATTATTCACTCGAATCTCGAACTTTCTCTCTCGTGTAACAGGTTTAACGCATTGCCAGCAACCAATTCACGTAAATCGTTCGTCGATTGCTTTTGCACGTTGTACATAGCAACACACAGGTACGCGTCGTTTGATGCGGCGTCATGCATTAATTAGGAGCACTCCTCGGGTCATCCAGCACGCAACAGACGCGTTTCCTGTACGCACGAGCTGGCTTCGATTTCGCGGTGGGAAGCCTGTTCATTTCCTGGTTATTGTTTAATGGGTGTGTACTCGGGGGAAATTAATGCGATTTCTGCGCATTGTGTCCGAGAAATTAACGCGATTGTAGATAATACGTGTATCGCGCCATAACGCGTACGTACAGGATTATCCGTTTGTTTCTTTCCGCTCATCCGGCGCTCGTTGCGCTGCACTCATTCGCAGAGAGAATCCGCGTTTGATAAATTAATTTATGTTACAACGTCCGGACAGATTTAAACTCGTCTCGTGAAACCGCCCCACTCGTGCGATTAAGAATTGTGCGCCCGCACGAACGGTCGTTCTGACGCGTCGCCGAATAATTCACGCTCGGGAAACAATTCGTGGCCGGAAAGGATCATCGATCAAAGTGCCCGAAATTTCTTCTTCGAGACGAACTGCGAAGCGAGAAAGATCGACCGGGTCCTTTGATCAGATGCGTAACATGTGGAGCCCGATGCTACATTCCCAAGAACTATCTATGCAAATAGGATCAGTTCCGAATTATTAATGTGGATCTCTAAGCGAGCAAATAGCCGCTTCTAATTACTACCGTTCTAGCTAACTATCAGTGTCAACGATCGTGGCTTCTGCCAAGATATATGCGCGATATATGTATAGACGTGTCTTCGATTAGATAGATATCTATGTAGACAGATACAACAGACAGCTGTCTACGAGCTAAATAGGCAGACGCTTCATCTGGAATAACTGTTGATTAGTAGACAACAACGCGTTAATATCGAGCAGCGCTTGACGGCACGGCTGGTTTGTTCGTCAGCGCTGCGAGAAGTCTCTGGAGCCAAGACGCCTCACGCGTAACTCGTGCGTGTCAATTGCGTCGAATTTAATGAGATCACCTCTCGCGGAAATTTTACGCTACTTTGACGGTGTGTGCGTGTGTGTGTGTGTGTGTTTCGAAACTAATATTAGAAGAGAATATAATCGAGTTCATCTAAAAGAACCGAAAGTTCGCGGTACGAGGACCTTCAAGTTTCAGGAAACTAGTGAAATTCACTCCCAAAAAGTTAGGAGAGGCAAGTATCTCTAATTATAACTTCCACATTAGCGTGCACCATCTAGAAAGAGGGAGAGGAAGAAAGAGAGAGGGGGAGAGAGAGAGGGGGGACTATCTGGAGCGAATAACGGGCAATATTGTCTTAAAGTAATTCCGAATATGTAATCGGAGCCCCGGATCTCTCCTTCATTGTCGGAGTTGGTTTATTGTCCCTTCTGGTTTACAATTACCATTCGCAATTACTGTCTGTCCCACGACGGACAACACCGTGCCGTCCAATAGTTCGCCGGCTTCCTTACGTTCCCGGACGCAGCGAGTGTACTCTCTCCTAATTAATTAAGCGAATTATCGCACCCACCACGATCATCAAGGCGCGACGCCTTCGATGCGTCCACGAGCGCGCGGGCAACCGGTCGTCTCCGGTGGTAACAAAACGGTGCGTCTCGCCATCGGACTCGCTTATGTTATAATTAACCATAGCGCGGGTAACGACGAGCCACAGGTAGCGCGAGCGAGAAACGCAAACTCGAGAATGCGAGCGCGCCATTGTTTCGACCGAAATCAAGGCCCGCTCGCCGACCGCCCGTCGTGATTGACGGCGACATCCACTGACACCGGCCCTTGGAACGCACCGCTCAAATTACTCTCGCTGTCTACCGGTTCATTGGCAGGGGAGTAACGACAGGCGTCGGCCTGCCGGCACCGATATGTCCCACGGCTTCCAGGTCCTTTTCAATCCCGATATTGAGCTGATATCACCGTAGCGGTCGTGCGACGAGCCGAACGAAAGATTCCGGCGAATCCCGGAAGCTTCCATCCAGTTGGACCCCTCTCCTCACCTCCTCCGTGAACTTTGAGACGGGTGGTATAGAGAAAACTCTTCGACGGATACATGCCGGACAATCAGAATTTTCGGCGATTTCTCCAACTAAATCGTCTCGTGAATGAGATATTTTTCAACTAAACTCGGAGAATACCTATGTGCGTAGCACTCACATGACAGAAATGAATCTGTTGATCCGGCGAATCCTATGTAACTCACTGATTAAAATTTAACGTTACACTGAGAGAAACCTCACTAAAATTACACGGGAAGAAAATTCAGTTTCTGCAGAAACATGTAATTGAAAAAGGACCAGACGAAAACTTGATAACAAGAAATGAGAAGTCGGTGAAGAAATAATATCTCTGTTACTGCGACTGAAGAACATTCGTGCACGGAGAAAAATAATATTGCTGTTGTAGCGTAACCACACACACACACACGCGCGCGCACACGCACGCACACACACACACACACACACATTATTACTACTGTAATTTTATTCACCGTATCAGCGATAACATTTAATTAACATAACCAAATTAGTAAATTATTTGTAATTAAAACGGAAACAGTTTTGTTGCTAAGATAGAAAAATTCTGCTGAATAAATATGTCCTTAGGATACGTTGGTTTATTATTAAAACAAAATAGTGTTCATCTATATTTACTAATTTGTAGATTCAGCATAATAATTCAACGAAAAGCAATTAGTACCCTTAAAAATCTTTTTGTTATCCACGTAGTAACTGACAGATCTTGCTGCGGCAGCATAAAATTTTTTATGTTAGCAAATTATTTTTCTCCGTATGTGAACACTCAGCTGCAAAAAACTTGGTGGAAAACAACTGACTGAGTGATGGAAATCTCCATCAGGGATTTTTCTGTTTCTCCAACCGAGTTTTCATCTGGTTTCTGGACAACAAAAAATTCAGTTATTTTAATGGAATTATTTTTTTCGTGTAGTTATTTTCAGCCTCAACTACATCTTTTTTTGGTTTTAATTCAATAAATAGTAATAGTAGCAATATTCATGTAAAATTATTCATATAGATATATTTATATAAGATTCACTATCACTATAATAAGACTTTTTAGGAAAATGATTTTACTTACATGATTGTAACTATAAATAGCAGAAATGTTTTTCTCAATGTATAATTAAGCAGATTGGCTTGTGTTGGAAGAAAATTGTGTGGTAGAAGCGATTGGCAATCTGCTCACAGATGGAACAAACTTTATAGATATTATCTTCGCTATCGCAGCAAACCATCCGAAGATAGGTTTAACTTCACGAAACAGATTCATTAATTTTAGCCAGCGAGGCTTTCAGCTGCTAGCGTAAATCTCTCTTTTCCGTATATATTTATTTAAAACGAAGATCGATGTTGCCTGTTAAATTTTCGTGTATGACGCGATACTTACGCAATCCAGCAATTCTTTGCGGCATATTTTCCGGAGTTTCGCCTCGTTCGCTCGTCGATCAACGCCACGATATTCGCGATGCTGAACGTAAAATTAATTCAGTGCGCGTATCTGACTCCGTTTCACTTTTTTTTCGCTTTTTTTCATCGCATCTCCATTTTGTCCACGCAGGCAAACCTCGGCCGCAGGTCTCGTGGTATCTGGAGTCGCAGAACATTCACGCGCCCACCGAGATTCGGGAGACTCGAGGACCGAATAGCGAGGCCAACGTCGTAACCATCAGCAACGTGACTGTGAAGGCGCTCACGAGGAGGCACCATCACGCCAAGCTGTCCTGCCGAGCGAATAACACACAATTAGCACTGCCACCTAGCACCTCTGTCATCATAGAGCTTAACAGTGAGTACACTCATTCCAATTAACGCTAATTGCGAACGGCGCGCGGAATCGCGCGTCGCGCCCGACCTACCTTGCGAAAATAATTTTTCCCGTTTTTTTTTTTTTTTCGTCACTCCGGAAAGTGATCCTAATTATCAGGCCACAAACGTCGTCGCTTCCTTATTCGCGGAAACGCGAGCACAAAAAGAGCATTCTTCTTCATTTTGTGGAAAAATGGGAAAAATGCCAGCGGCAAGATAACGCAGATGATAGTGAAACGTGACTATTACATTAACACGGAGAAGTAAATGACGTTAATCTTCGGCGCGATATGATTTTATTCCTTGGTAAAATTTAAGCATTTTACGTGACGGGTCGAAATTTTTTAATGCTATTTTTATACTCTCAAGAATTCGTTGTTCTTGCGTAGATGGTCTGTGGACTAATAGAAACCTACTCTGATGGTACTGAACACTTCTCTCTCGAACCTTTGATTCTACAGTTTCAATTTTAATGCTATCTCGAGCAACTTATTTTGACGCTAAAACGAAATTTGAAGGTCGCTCGAAATTTCAATCGCATAACAATTTCACGTGTGGCCAATATTTTCACTCAAGTATAGTCATTATCACTCGAAGAGATTAAATAGATAACAAATTCACGCAAGTTAATCGAGTCTCACGCGGCGGCTTGTCATTACGCAAGTCCCTCGGATATTTACGTTCGTGAAATCAGCCAAACATCCGTAGTATATCGAAGCATCGTGCTCGTACACAATTCACGCCAGTATAAAAGGGGGAATCTCACATCGTGATTTTCATGCGCCAGAGACTCTCGATTCGTCCGTAAAATAACTACTGCGAATCACTTGCCCGCCCGCTCGCTCGTTCGGCTATTACGCAAGTACGAAAAAATTCCGAACATTTTCCCTGGGAATGTCTCAAATTTTGCGAATAACCGCCGAACAAGGTACCCTCTGCGTTATGAATATGCAAAAGCCCGTCAATTTCGGCGGACCGCGATACTTTCGGTCGTTCCCGTTTTATCCCTCCTCTCTTCATCATCCCTCTCACGTCCCTCGTCCTCCCTGCTGCATATCCTGTGTGTATCGGTATCAATATTTTCTCGCCGCAAAGAGGGTAGAGCGAATATTTAACCGACGCGAGATCCGATTTGTCCGACTGGGAACTTTGTGTGTCTCTCTCTCTCTCTCTCTCTCTCTCTCTCCCCCCACTTTCTCTCTCTCCGTCTCTCTTTTTTTCCCGGCCCAGCCGAAAATGGAAGCGGACTCTCGACGAGACGAAATTGAAACATTTTTCACCGATTACAGAGGAGTGAGGGGAGAGAGAGAGAGAGATTCGACGAGAGGGTCATAGTGAGACTGCGTCGTACCCTCGCGCCGAAAAGCAATCAACCCCACGATGTCATTAATAACGCCACTTCCGGAATCGCTCCGAAATGCGACGAATCGCGCACGGGTAACATGCCGCGGCCGCGGCAACGTTCGATCAATCTTCGTGAAAAACAGAGATAGAAAGGAAATATCCCACGCGCCTCCCCCTGCACCGCCCCTTTCGTCGCCAGACGAGACTCCTGCTTCCCCGGAAACAACGGTGGAGAGAGCGCCGGGGAAAATTGCGATTCCGAGTTATTTCCTTCGGCCGAAGCCGACGACCTGAGGCGTATAATACGTTCGCGATTATTTCACGACACGTGTGTTACCAGAAGGGCGGGACGAGGAGTGGTGGAGAGGGGAGGAGGAGTCGTAATGAAAAGTTCGTCGGTCACCCGCGACATTGTAACACGAGCCATAATTATACGCGAAAGCTGCACGCCGGCATAACGAATGGCTTCCGTTGAATATAGCAGAATTAAGCTTTATGCTTTCACGCGTTCGCCGCTTTCATCGCGTGTTCGGATCGTCGAGGCTTTGTGCCAGGGATACTACTCAATATTATCTACTTGGACGATGGCGATCCGACGAGCGAATCAATTATGCTCTCTTTCGTTCGAAGATTAACAGACTGCGAGAAGTATCGGCGCGGTGAATACACGGTTATGGAAAAAAATAAAATTTGTACGTTATGTTGTTGTTGGACAATGCAGCGGACGTGCGGGAGATAGCGTATTTCTGGCTTATCAGATTTCGCTGGGCTGAGAGTGATACCGCGCGTTTCACGGAAACGAATTAAAAAAATACAAAAATACAAAAAGGACGAAACAAAAACGAGAATTCGGGAGGCGCACGAAATGAAAAATCTTTCAATTTTCTCATCGGCTAATTGACCATCGGCAGCCCGTCAAAGGACAGCGGGGGTCTATTTTAATTGGTCAGTGCGAAATAATTTCTATCGGATCCGACAATCGAAAATGGACGCGACTCGGGCACAAACGGGATCGCAGTTATTCGCGTGTGATATCGCGCTTATACGATCGAAAATTTAAAAACCGCAAAGCTGATCGAATTATATATTGCTCGCGCCATGCTCGTATACACGTAAAAATAATTTCAAAATATAATTTTTCGTGCACGCCGTGTGCTTTTATCCCGGAAACCATTTATCTTCTGATAATTAAAAATGACATTTTCTACCTCGAGGTAGAAGCCGAGACTTAATCATTAATAAAATATCACCTCACGTTTCCGGCGAATTAAGTTTTACGCGGTTCGATGTTTACTAGAGTCGTTTATAATCCCGCTGGATCACACTCTTTCATCATGACGTAAACTTTCGCAATCCCCTATTAATAATTACCAGAGCAATCCATCTGGCCTTTCCTTCCTTTATTTTCACTCACGTTCTTCAGGAAAATTTGTAAATTCGAATTTCTGCACTTCCGAAATTAAGAAAATGTTTATATTCTGTCGAACGTCCTTCCCCGCCCATGAGAGACAGAAGACGATGCCTGGCGCAGTCGCGCGGATGCGGAAAATTAATATTCATAATTGTATAAGCAGTATAGGGTGGCTTATCGGCACGCTTCAGACTTATCCGATGGCGAACTTTTGCGCGTCGGACAAACAAGTTTAAATTAAATAAGGCGAAAGCGTTGCCCCGAGATCCGAGGAGATGCAAAGATCTGCTAAGCGAGGAGAAAGAAGAGTTATAGTAGAAGCTGCTTGAGCGCTATGTAAAAAGTTTCAGTGCAAGCCGGGCCGACGATAACTAACTTTCGATTAAATATTTCACGACGTTCGGCTATACGTCTGATCGAAACGAACGAGACATTTTCGTTTTCCCGCGGCACGATATATTTTCCTAGTCCGACGTTTGATGTTTTCTCTCTCTCTCTCTCTCTCTTTGATTTGTTATAATCGTAACACGGCTATATACGTCGGACGACGTTTCTAATTCTTCCTGAGTCTAAATGTTGGCCATATGTTAAGCCTTTAATTTTACAACATAGTAGAAGCTAAGACAGCAAAATAGAGATTTATATATATATATATATATTCAATTCTAATAATATAATTTACTCCTACTTTCACCATGATAATGTCTTAATTTCCATCTTCGCTATTTTAGCGTCAAAGTAGGTTATTCAAGGCAGCAAGAAAATGAAATCTGTAGAATTAAAGGTTCAAGCGAGAAGCAAATAAGTGCCAGGTATCGTCAAAGAGTAGGCTTTTATTGATTTACGGACTATAGTTTAAAAAATCGAGTTTTTCATTTTTTTTTCGATTTCTTCTCAAAAATAAAAAATTCGTTAAAAACAATCCACGTGTATTCGGATAAAAACTACCACATCTTCTTCTTCCCGTAAAGAAAATAATATTGCAAGCAATATTATTCCTTAACATACAACATATTAACTTCATTTAACTTCAGTTAAATGCTATTATTGCTATTATCTTTTTTACGGGAAGAAGTAAATATAGTAGGTTTTAGCCGAACATACACGTGAATCTTTCTAAACGAATGTTTCTACTCTTGGGAAAGGAACCAAAAAGAAATTCGCGGAAAAATCAAAACAAAAGCAGCTTTTTTTCGAACCTTCAAAACTATACTAGAGACCATCTAAGTAGACGCAAACTTGTCCTGAAGAGCTCTCAAAGTAGTATCCAAATTTCGACGCGGATCTTCGGACATCGCGAAAACGCGATAAATCCCACCAAGAAAACCCGCGATGGTTCGTCGAGTGCTCTCGGCCGTGTAATCGAACGTAAATATCGACCTCCCGCGCTCGGACTCGGCGAAGGGGATCCGAGGGACTCGTTCGCCGGGATAACGGAAATAATCTCGGCCGATGTAACACTCGACTCAATTCCGGCGAGCAGTACTTCGTTTTTCCCGATTGAGGATTCGCGTCGAGGACCGACCCCCTCCGCGCGCCCTGCTCGCCGCGGCTTGCATAACGAAATTGATCCCACGGCGCTTCGTCTTGCCTCGCCTTGCCTCTCGATCCCTTCGCTAATTGGAAATGCGCCGAACGAGGAGCCGCTAACCGCATAATCGCGCCGCTCACGCGACTCCGTCGCTCGTACAATCTCTCGAAGGTTCTGACGAGAAAGCGAGGGAGGGAGAAAGGATGAGCTACAGGACCTTGGGCGCGGCGGAGACGCGGGCGGAAGTCGATCGACTTGCGAGAACGATTGGCACGGTTGACAACGAGGTCGGTGAATACACGAGGCTTCGAGTGGATCGGCTAGAGGATCGCGTTCTGTCGAGCCTTCGAAACCGCGCGCTGTCCCATTAATTTTTCATGCTACCGCCGAGACCGAAGTAAAATCCGATGTATGCGCGAATGGAGAGTCGTTAATAGTTATACGATGGCTCTACGTAATGGAAATTGCGAAATTGGAGCGGCGCGGCTCTCGCTGCGTGCGCTAATAGGAAGACACGGCCGTTCGAGAAACAAATTGAATTCGCAACGTCACGGAACGTAACGGTGCTTGTCGCACCATTACGCCACTCTCGACATCGTCAATGGATTCTTCTTCATCGGTAATATCTAGCGCAATTCTAATGTACGAAATGCATTTATGCACGCGTATTTTTACTTGCGCGACGTATTTTTTA